CCACCTAACTAGCGAAAGAAGTCTTGACAAGATGTAGAGAGAATGTATTTAACGAGCAGCCAAAAGGTATGAGTTCAACAAGCACACAACTGAAGCTTATTCATACGATGATAAAAGCGCCCTTGGTGAGAGCTACAAAATAGTGTACTAAAATAAACCACCAACCAATCACAACCAAGGATCTTCCGAGTGGGAAATGTAAGCGTCCCTTGGCGTGAAAAAAATAAAAATTCAACATTTTAGAAATAAATTACAAAATTAGGACCTTTTCCACGTGAGTTCTAGAGATCTAACATCCCCAACACTTATGTAATTGGTATGAAGTTTAATTCAACGTGAAATACTTTGGATTATCGTGTTGTTGATATTCTGACTGAAATTCGATCAATCATGATTGGTAAACAGACATCTTATGTGAATTGCATCGATATAACTAGTATGATACAAGTTTTACATTGAATAAACAGTGTGATTAGCAGTGGATACCCACATGCCAACCAAAGTTTATAAAATTCCAAAGATAAAAATTATAAACTGTTAGGATATTCATTCAATATCCTAAGATAATTATTGGTCAAATCCTATTGCTCGATTTCTATTGGTCAAAATTATGGTCGTTTTAACTGTCAATGTCAAATACTTCAATATTCTCTCTTATTGGTCATCCGGACTGTCAATGTCATTTCAAATGTTACTTCCTACTGGTCGTCTTAACTGTCAATGCCACAGAATTCCATGCTGTTTCCTATTCGACCAAAATGTATAAATACGCATTGTCTGTAACGTTTTATGACCACGACCAGGGCTCGGTCCTTGATCCATAGTCCGGAATGCTGATTCTCTTCTGGATTCGGACATCGTACTTTCTGGATGCTTGTAGAATACAGGTTCTACTTCATATCAAGTCTTGTCTTCTTTTACTAAATATGGGGTTGGAATAATCGGATTTGAGTAGTATGTCGTGTCACCGGATCCTCGCTCTCTTTTTCCGACTAGGTAAACTCGTAATAGTTCAAGTATATCAAGTTGACGTGTTTACGTGCAGGTGTAACATAAACACTGTGATAATCCAAACAATTTAGAAATGAGTTAAATCCCCTTATATACTTAAAGTCAAAACGATGTAAAACCAGTGAACATGTAATTTATATCTTTAAATAAACCAATTCATACATTTGACTAAGTAATGAGATAGATAATGATATATTGGACTGTGAATCCAAACTAGTTTTGCTGAAAAGACTTGTAATACTCTATAACTCCATTCTAAGGTTACTGCCAATCCTGAGTTTCAGACCTGGACGTGCGTGGATATACAGACCACATATCAACACTATGACAGGTCTTAGAACACAGACTTAAACGTCAAACAATTTTTTGTTTTCTCGAACTCCGGGCGGCACTTAACTCTGTGGAAGTGTCTGCCATTGAAAGGGTACCAGGGGAGTACATTAACCTTACACAAGCTTCTTACTTGAACACTAATGGTTGGGCGAGAGTTTATGGCAAACTGTCATCGGAATTCTTTACTTCAAGTGGTATCTGTCAGATATTTCCACTCTCTCCACTGTTGTTTAACTTCGTCGTACATATGCTTTTAGAGTTATCATTCTTATCGTCTGACTTTTCAAGGGTGGACTTCCTACCAGAAGACTCGATTGTTGAGTAGAATATGCTGATGACATAGTCCTACTTGGTGAAGACGCTGACAAAATGCAGAGTCTTCTGACCACCCTAAGCAACAATGCAAGCATGTTCGAGATACGGTTTTCCCTCCCCAAATGCAAAATGTTGCTTCACGATTGACTTGCATCGGCTCCGGAACAAATGATAGGGAGTGAATTAGTCGAGCATTTTAACTACTTTAATTATCTTGGGAGTGTCATCAGTGCTGATGGTCTGGTCTCTGACGAAATCTCAGCGCGGATACAGAAGGCTCGAATGGCTTATGTCGACTTGCGACACTCAGAGCGTAGGCGAGATATTCATCTGCTAACAGAATGCCAAGTGTACTTCGCAGCACTTCGCTACTATACAGGTGTGAAACATGTCCAGTGACAATACAGGGTTTTCTTAGATTACTAATATTCGATCATCGGTGTCTGCGAAGCGTCATTTGAATATCTTAAGACCATCGAGTAAGCAATACAGTTGTTGGGAAAAGGATATTAGGTGAGGATGTAGTGAATCTTCATTAGTCGAGGTGGTTGTCATATGTATTACGTTTGCTCAACCACCGATTGCTTCGATGAGAAATGTTTTGTGACTTAAGTGTAGGCTGGAAGAAATTTAGGGGCGGCCAAATTAAAACATGGCACAAATCCAATAAGTCACTGACAATTGAACTGAGCCGTGTTGGTAGGTGTAGACTACTAGGTTGAGATCGGCGAATCAATCGTAACCGGTGACTAGAGACCTTGAATGACATAGCTGAAAGTCGTTTGAACTGGTGCAGATTCATCCACTCTTTCTGTTTTATCAAATCCTAATATTTTGGATTCCTCTGTGGTATACATCTCGAATGATATATTCGATCATTAAGCTTTTTGATTACTGCTAATACTTCCAATACATCGACCACTATGGGTTTTGAATTGACAATTGCATCTCTGTGCGCTAATGTGCTATGGTGACCTGAAATAATGTACGTACGTATGAAGTTCTATGTTGTAACTGCTCGTACCGAGTTGGGATAAAAGAAAAGAGAGAACCTATAAATCAACTCAATAATTTGAAATATAAACCTACAATATATAACAAAGTTGAAATAATTGAACACTAAATCAGCCTCACTTATTTGTATTCAGTTTGAAAATTTTTTTCTTAATAAAAAAAAGTAACCAGAAACAAAACACACACAAGAACAAGAAGTATTCGACATGTACACAAAATTTTTACAAACAAACAAACAACCAGACAGAAAACATGTATCAACAAGAATATACAAGTGTTTTTTGTTTTTGTGATAAAAAGCCATCAGAGAGGTAAAGGGGTAGGTAGGGAAGAAGACAGAAAAATTTCAACTTTGTATGCACTTTAAAACCATCATCAACATCTTATATTCACAATGAAATATTAATTTAAAAATAATAATAATAACAGAGAGATAAAAAGAAAACCATATATGACAAGATATAATGATGATGAATAAAACCAAACTAGAGAGAGAGAGAAAGGATAAATCAACTAGTCAGACAGAGCACAAACACACACGTATGACACGTGTGTAGGTACATATTCTCTCAGCAATCAATAATAATTGAATGGAACACAATGGTCAGTCAGTCAGATGCAACGCAGAACTGTGTACGTAAGTACATCAGTTCATGTCGCCATACCACATTAACACACAGAGATTCAATTGTCAATTCAAATTCAATAGTTATAGAGATAATAAGAGTATCCGAAGTAATCGGAAAGGTTAGGATTAGATATTATTCAGTGAGATAAGTTTAGAAAGTCAAAACTAGAAAGGTTGAAGAATCCAGAAGATTAGGATTTGAGAGAACACAAAGAATAAATGCACCGGCGCCATTGCAAACGGTTTTGAGCCATGTCGTTCAGGGTATCTAACCATCGATTATTATCATCTCGTGGACCCCAACCAGGTAGTCGACAACTACCGACATGACTCACTCCACTCATCAATGACTTCATGGATTTCTGACATGTTTTGGTTTGGCCGCCCCTAACTTTCTTCCAATCTACTCCTACACTACAATACATAGCTCGTCGAGGCAGTCGGTGGTTAGGCATACGCAACACATGTCCCAATCACCTCAACTGATGACCTGCGATTCTTACCTAGCACCCATTTCCTAATAACAGCGTTGCTCACTCGGGTGTCCCACGAAACACGAGCAATGCTTTGAAGACACCTATGGTCGAAAACCAATAACCGACGAATATCTTCTACTCTCATTGGCCATGTTTCACAATCATAAAGTAAGACGGCGCGAACTACTGCACAATACACTCATCCTTTAGTCATCTCAAACGGTTATCTCGCCTACACCATAAGTAACACAACTTGGCAAACGCCAATCGACCCTTCTGTATCCAACCTGAGATGTCGTCACACACACCAGGCCATCAGCAACTGATGAGACTCCTCAGATAACTGAAACAGTCTACACAATCGAATAGAAAAAGAAACAAAAATTATATTTGTACAATTTATTTAGTGTTATTATTATCATTATTATGATTATTCTTTAAGTGTTAAACAAAACAAAAAGTTATCAAAGAAAAGAACAAATGTGTACATTTAGCGAATTGAAGTTGTAGTTAAAGTTTGTATTAATTATTTTGTTGTCATAGAATTATTTACTATTGATACGATGATTATTATTATTTCAAGCATATGTAAACGACAAAATAATTAACCAAAAATAATCATAATAAATATATATGTATATGTATATATATGTATTCATAAAACAATGAATTGTTTGCTTGTTTTTCAAATGAGTTCATGTACTTGCTATGAATATAAACACAGACACACACATACACACACACTGGGGAAGAGAGACAAACAGCTCCATATAATATACATGTATAGGCGTGTGTGTGTGTGTACGGTGTATGCACAATAGATATCTGAGGTGTACAAAATGTAAAAAGATCAATCAAATGCGTGGATGCATTTGCAAAAATGGTCCATGGTTCAGAGTTGTGAACAACACACACACACAAATCTTTTGCACAAAAAATACCCTTTGATTATTGGATAAGCAAATAATAATAATAATAATAATAATAATAATAAGGGAAAGATAAGAAATAATAATAATAATAATAATAATAATAATTTCATATTTTTATGTTTTTTTAGAAAAAAAAACAAACAAAAGTTGAGTGAATTGAAAAGCAATCATCAATTGGGAAGCCAATTTTCATAGAGTAATGAATTGTACTTGTAGAAGTGGTAGTAGTAGTACAACACTTTTACACATGAATATCTTATCCTGAGGTGTAAGTAAGCAGTTATATGTATGTATGTGTGTATGTTATTATTACTATGTAAGAGTAAGAATGTATTGTAGTAAACTGGAAGACAATGTTACAAAATGATCATATGTATATATGTATGTATATATATATTGCACAAAATGTTCTGTTTTTTTCCCTTATGGACAGGAGGAGGAGTGAGTTAATCAGTGAGGATAAACTTTTGACAAAATGTTTACAGTATCAGTATCATTTTTTTTAGAAAAAAGCGTCTATATTCACTGAAATAAATGCAATAACAACAGAAAGAAATCAATCAATTGTGAAGATGATGATGATGGTGATGATGATGACAGGGCAATAATATGAAGGATGATTTGTTGTTTGTTATAGACCAACTTCTTGACTAGTTGAAACAATATACGATTGTGATGTTGTTGTTACAGCAGCACCACTAGTATTTGAAGCGGAACGTGTATGCGGTGGTTGTAATGAATTACTATTATTATTATTATTACTACTACTATTAACTGAAGAAGTACGTAGCATAGCATTCGGTGTTATAGGACGAGTAACTGATTGAATAACTGAAGAGGTAGGTCGATGTGTATTATTATTATTATTAACAGAGACATGTTGTTGTATATTATTTGGTCGTGGAAATAATTGAAGAGGAGTTGGAGGTGCTGCACCCGAAGGGAATGGACCAACAGGAGCACGTCGACGTGGAAGAGTAGCTCCTAGAGCTTGATGATTCACATTTCCTGTATACATATTTCCAGTAGCTGATATTAGAAAAAAAAACACAAGTTAACTCTAACTAAAATTAGTCTAACAAAGTGAATTAGATAACCTTAAACAAACTGTAACCACTGACTCTACGTGATATTGTTTAAAAGTTCAAACATTCTTGTTTTCCAATAAAAGAATTTTCAAGGTAATCTATTCTGTTTACTTAGGTCTAGACATACAATAAAACCAACACAGAATGAGAGAGAGAGAGACCAATGTCTGCCCTCATGTTAAGCATACACATGTGGCTAACAGACTGTTGAACGAACATATCTCACTCAGACTGACTAACTGTTTTGGTATATATATATAGAAACATTTTCAATTACCGACTAATTTATTATTGTAAAATCTAAAACCCATTTTATCTATCCAATTTGGTTCTTGAATAACATCACTTACTTACTAGTTAGTTGGTAAACTATTTGCGGATCGTAAGAAATAAATTTTTTTTTATTGAATTCAATAATTCAATACAAGAAATTGACCGATTCAAATTGTTCAAGGAAAAAAAAAGCAGAACATGAACAAGCTAGTAAGTGAGTGATGTTGTTATTGTAACAAGTAGTAGAAAGGAGACAGAAAGAAGGCTAATAAAACATTTTCAAGGTGTAACCAACTGTACAAATAAATTTTACACCCATAAAAAAATCAATAAACGAGGAATAATGCTAAAGGAAGGGAATAAAATAATTCAGAATTTGTATATATAATATATATATATATATATATATATATATATATATATATATATATATATATATAAATCAGGAAGAAGCAGTGCAAGTGGACAGGACACACACTGCGGAAAGCACCCACCTGCGTCACAAGACAGATTCTCACTTGAAGTCCTCAAGGTCAAAAGAAAAGAGGAAGGCCAAGAAAAACAAAAAACTTGGGAAAGATATGAGAAGAATGAACAAAAATTGGACAGAACTGGAAAGGGAAGTTCAGGACAGAGTTGGTTGGAGGAAACTGGTGGGCGGCCTATGCTCCATTGGGGGTAACAGGCGTAAGTAAGTAAGTAATACATAGTTAATAAAATTGTTACAAATATTACAAACTACACAATGTGTAGGTCTTCGTTATTTTCTTTTGGGGTGGGGGCCACTATATTAATTACCTTGACATAACTGCTTGAGTGAATTAGGCACCATTATAAATGTTATCAGACAATACTCAGTAAAGATGAATGAATCTATTAACATTCACCAATCGAAATAGCTTAATAAGTGAAATACACAAAAATTGGTTACCGATAATTTAAATATCAATCATTGTTAGACCTTCATTAGAAACCTGGAAGCATTGGACAGCCTTTTCGTCATGGCATGGGACTCATCAGCAGTGCGCATCCACGACTCCTGCACCTCGTAGGATTCGAACCCAGGACCTTTGGTCTTGCGCGCCAACGCCTAACCATCGGACCACTTGGTCCGGCATCCAACGGTGTTAATGTCTAACTCTGATTAAAACCTACGGATTTCGCGCGACCTCAATGTGCAACAAACACTAATCTCCATAACACTAATTTTAGAAAAATTCCAATATCGCAATTATTTAAAACAGGATTTAATTATTATAATCACTGAAGATATTGATTTTCCTTTTTACTAAAAATAATGAAGGTAAGTAGGTGTAACGATAATTAATTCACAACCGATGTTAATTGACACAACCTAAAATTAGTTATTTATGGTATACATACATATACATTCTTCAACTTTTATTTGTTCCTTCCAACTGTACATTTTTTCTCTCCATTGCATTTATGTCGAGTTATAGTAAGATCTAATTATGATATATATATATACAAATAGAAAAACTGAAATTTTTTCTTGACAAATTCTTTAAAAATAATACACATTTTTGAAACCATGAATCGATCAATGTAAGACCACCATAAGAAACCTGGAAGCACTGGAAGGCCGTTTCGTCCTGGTATGGGACTCCTCAGTGGCAGTGCGCATCCACGACTTCTGCACCCCGCAGCATTCGAACCCAGGACCATCGGTATTGTAGGCGAACGCCTTACCATCGGATCACTGAGCCGGTATCTAACGGTGTTAATGTCTAACTTGATCAAAATGTGTAACTTAACAATCTTTACAATCCCGTAATGCAAAAATAATACAGACAAAATGAATATACCTTGTGATAATGGTTGATTTGCTGTTACAGGATGATAAGAAGGTAATTGTCCTACACCGGAAGCGGCGACAACAGCACCAACAGCAGCAGTAGCAGTAGAGGATTGATGTTGTTGAAGATGTGAAAAATGATGAGGTTGTAAAAGACCTGAATTTACACTATTATTATTATTACTGCCAACAGTTATGTCTGTAACACCAGATGAAGAAGAAAGCCCAGTTGATGATATTAACGGTCCATGAATGATGGAATGTGATTGAACAATTTGTTGTTGTGGTAGCATAGAGTTTTGTGAAGAACGAAGTGTTGGAGCTACAACATTACTACTACTAATACTAGGAGGAGGAATAGGTGGTGGTACTAGTTGTTTTGGACAACCATTGCGTAATAGAAAGTCAGCACAATCATATTTTTGAGAACAATGCGCGTAATAGAATGCATTTCTGCCTTCATGATCTGTGACACTTGGATCACCATTGTACTTTAATGATAATAATACAGAGGAACAAATTATGTCGTAAAAACGATAAGAAATAAAAACACTTAATAAGAGATTAATTATCTTATTTTTTATTCAAACACAATTAATGATACAAAGGGATACATAAATATTTAGGCGCCACATTATTTATTGAATTTGTGAATAGGCTGGGATACTGTGGTGTGAGCTACTTATAAGTAGTATATGATGTGAGTGTCAAAGTAATGTCTGGCAGCGGATGATGAGGAGAGATCAAGAAAGGAAGAGTTAGAACACAATGGAATTTGTATGAAACGCATGAATAGTGACAATGGATTGATGTTTGGCAACAGGAACAGTCCAGTTCGATATGATGAACTGATATTTTGCAAATTAACAATTTACGATATGGTTTTCCTATTTTACTGAGTAACTCTGTAATTTTCGTTAAATACAATTCGGTTGCCCCACGTGTGTTCTCGTTCACTACAATACTACTACTCAGAGGCCCAAACTCAAGCAGGTGGCTTTTTAAGGGGGTCTACACTACGAGCCTTCGAACTACAGATTTTATCTACAAGACAGTGAAGCAAATTTTGCAGGTCAGTCAGTCAGCTACGACGTAGAACTTGGGTACGTATGTATATAAGTTCAGGTTGCAATACCATATTAGCACAGAGATGCAATAGTCAGTTCAAATACCATAGTGGTAGAGGTATTAGAAGTATTAGCGGTAATGGCAAAGACTAGACTTCGGAGACATTATTCAAGAAGTGTAATTCAGTGAGATAACTTAAGAAAAAGAAAAACAGAGGTGATGATGAATTCAGAAGATTAGAATTTCAGAGAACACAAAGAGTGGATGCACCTGCACGATTGATAACGATTTTGAGCCATATCGTACAACGTCTCTAACCATCGGATAGTATCGTCTCGCAGTAGTCGACACTTACCGACATGACTTAATCCAGTTGTCATTGACTTCATGGATCTAGGCCATATTTTGGCTTGGCTGCCCAAAATTTAGCAGGTGCAGTCCTATTGTAGCCACCGACCAACATAGGCCTATATGCCATTTGTCCTATCACAATAATATGGATTATTGTCAACTTTCAGTATGATATTGGTAAAGCTATCCATAATTATTGATGGATAGCAACTAGAAAGGGAATATGATGAATTTACGACTCTACTTGCTATAAACTGATGTATAATTTATCACTTTCAATAACAATCGACAAATGATTGACGGAGATTTCACAATTGAAATGATACAACTTATTTATACGTTTTTTTATGATAAAGAGTGTGTTTAATGCAGAAATTCGCATGAATGAATATAGATGAGATAACAAGTAAATATACATTTGACAGGTAACAGCCGAAAGTCTCATAATCATGAGAATAATACAGGAATTAATTATAAATTGTGTATCAGTTAGATGAGATAATAAATTGTGTGTTTGACAGTTTGTTTATGATGTATTTACATTATTAACATTGCATAAAAAAAGGTTACACATGGATCTTACTAAGTGTATACAACTATGACAATTATCTAATAATAAATGAAGAATTCTACTCTCAAAATATACATTCCGTTTAAATTACTTTCATAATTCCTCCCCTTCCTACGGCATACTTGTTATGATGGGCAGTTTTTGAGATCTGAAAATGATACACGCTAGCCACCTAAACGGACTATTTGATCGAAAAAAGCAAATACAAAACAGAAAATCTGTTTGGCTACCAAAAAATCTCTATAAGAAAACACGAGTTCATTTTTTGACCAATGATATGCATTCGTCATCAGATGACCTATTCTTTCCGCCACTTCTAATTGGTCATTTATTTCTATACTGTTGTTCTCAAACTATAATAACCAATCAAAATGTCTCAATTCATTGTTGCTGAAACGACTCCACAGACCAACCGGACTACTCCCTACAAATGGCACATTATGAACAAACAAACAAACAAATCAACTAACTAACTTACCCATAAAAGTAATTGTAAATAAACTAAATTTCCAAGTGTTGCAGCAATGTGAATAGCTGCACGTGGATCTTGACGTGAATAAGCTGCATTAACAGTTTCAGGTGTAGCTAAAGCTAAACAAAGTATCACTTGACGTGTATCTTGACGTGCTATAGCATCAATTAATTGTTGTTGTAATGGAGCATCAGGATAAGGCAATGGTGGCAGAAATTCTTGACGTTCATATTTAGCACGAATCCAAATTTCTTTTTCTTCACGTGAACTTGATGAGTCAGGTTTACTAAAATTTATTGAAAATTGATCATGATAATAATAATAAAAGTAAGTTTATGATAAAGGTAGGTGTGATGAATACTACTCACAATGTAGCTTTTCTAAATAATATGCAGTGGAATGTTAATGAAAAGTTACTACAGGATTGAAGAGTGTCTTTAGATCGAATTGCACTACGTGACCAGTGTACTTTGAAGAACAGAAGACACATGAACAAAGGCTACAACAAATAATTTGCTTATAAGTAATAGTGTGAAGATTAAGTCTACATATTTTGTTAAGGAAATGTGCCTATTTTCTAAATATACTACTACTATCCCATGTGGTCTTAACGTCTTTGTTCATTAACTAATTGAAACGATCTCCAATTGGAGGAAAGTAATAAAAAATATCTTGATATCACTTACAATAATCTACAATGGTAACCGTAATAACATTATCTGTGTTAATGTAGTAACAACATTGGTAGAGACGGATAAGATTAGGGATCAGATATTATATACACGGGAAATTCAGAAACCTGTAACCTGAAGGAAGACAACCAATAAATATACTTACGACATTGTAAACAATGTTGAGATATTTTATTCAAGGATCTCAATTAGGTAGCCTATATCTGTTAACATGGCTCAGTCTAGCGTCATGTTTTTGGTCTGACTACCCTTAACTTCCTTCTAGCTTATTCTCGCACCCTACAGCTTCGTCCGTTGAGGTATTCGTGTTGGGGACGTTAGATCTCCAAAACTTGCTTGATAAATGCCTTATTTCGGATTTCACATTTGCGAGCATGGGTTGATCAGTTGACCTTGAGATATTATTTCCCACCAGAAAAATCCTTGGCTGTGACTGGATGCTGTGTCATTTTAGTGTGTGACTGTCCCAAGGATGCTTCTATGATGTATGAATAAACGAGATATGAGTGCTTGATTGCAATGTGCTTGCTGAGTGTTTGTACAACATACTTTCTACGCTATACCAAGACTTCTCTTAGCCATTTCGGATCAAGGTAGCCTATCTGGACGCTGGTTCATTGTCTCGTTCGCGTTTATCGACTAAGGTGAACCCGTAATAGTTTCAAGCATACTTAGTGACGAACCTAACAAATCGGTGGTTGTTATCCAAATATCTTGCCTGGGATGTTGTTGGCATAAAATTTGAATAGCAGTGTAGCATAACTATTTTTAAGAATAAATAATAAAATATTTCGACAGAATATATACATATAAAATATACAACCAATATATATTTTGAATACTTAAATTATCAAATTTACCGTCGATTGCCAGCATTCAAAGGTACAGCAGCTTCCCAAACAGAATTAGCTAATGTATTGCCTATAGCACTCATTACAGCAACAGATTCAGTAGACCATTCATCTAAATGCAATGAACGTATACGTGAAATATGTGTTCCAAGTTGTCGATGTATACCACTGCAACTGATACAAACCATTGCGCCTAAATTAAGACTTGCCCAATCCGGTTCTAAAATAATAATAAGAATAATAATAAAAGAAATTAGAAAAATATATATTACAAAAAATTTTAAAACAGGATTATTAAAAATATTGAATAGTAACTGCTTCAAATACACTTAAGCTGCTGTTTAACTCCACCTGGAGCCCCTCTGGGGCTACTACTGCCGGTCCCAAGACCGGATAAAAGAGAAGGGTTGGGCATAGGGGAACTAACCCGTTAAAAAAAATTAGAAAATTGTTACATCTACCATCTATTATAACCTTTATAGTCGTAAACAACAGTGACTGACAGAGATGTGCTATAACACCCAAGTCAGTATAGTCAAATAAAATTATCACAAAAGAATCATACTAATTGCAATAAAAACACCAGTGAAGATTAAACATAGAGGATGTGTAGCTTAAGAAAAAAAAAGACAAGTAGGTTTGAATGAATAGTGGAACTCAGTATCCTGAAGGTCCAGGGTTAGAATCCTGCGAGTCGCAGGAATCGCGGATGCGCACCGTTGATGAGTCTCATACCAGGACGAAACGAACGTCCAGTCCTTCCACTTTTCTAATGGTGGTTTAACGATGATTGACTGATGATTTCATAGTGTAAAAGAAGATAAAATACGGCCATATTTCACAGATTGTAATTGATTCTAAGCTACATCATCAGTTTCACATTTGCAACCACTGATCACCACCTATTATTGTACTAAATTCAATGAACTAATTATAAAACCTGACTAAGTCTCATAATGCACAATTTTGTCATAAGTTTCTGAATAAAACTTGAGCAGAAGTGAGAAAATAATCATATATATACATTTCAAAAAATAGATCACATGAAGACGAAAACAATAAAAGCATACTAAAACTAGAAAAAAAATTAAAAAACAAAACGAAATTAAGAAAAAAAAACCCGGAGAGTAGTAATAAACATGTACAATTTGCATAAAAAATTGAATGAACTAAGCATAAACAAGTGCATTGTCCTTATTCTTTTTTTCTCTTTCAAGTAAATGTAAATGATTGTGACAACGTAAACAAAGGATACACAGTATAAAAAAGAGAAACGATTACTATTGAAAAACAAAATGAAGTTGGTTTAATTTTTTTGATTCGATCAATAACAATCATACTTATAATAAAATAATTCAAGTGTTTTTTTGTAAGAAGGGAATAAATAGAAATAATCAGTTTTATTGTGATTGTAGGAAAGTAGATCACGCTTGATACTACTTGTAATGTGGCTTTTAAGTAGTATATACGGTGCCGCTTAAAGACTGCACCGACGAGCGATGTATTGTGATGTAGGGGGTAGGTTGGCCAGACCAAAACATGTCACAAATCTATGAAGTCATTGACAACTGGACTGAGTCATGTTATATGTGTAGACTACCTGGTTGGGGTCCATGGGACAATCGTAACCGATGGTTAGAGTCTTTGAATGAGATAGCTCAAAATCGTTGACAATGGTACAGGTGCATTCATTCATTAAGTTTTCTCAAATCTTAATCTTTCGAATTCCTCATCACCTTTATCTTTCCCTTTTTTAAATTTGTTTCATTGAAATATACTTACTCCTTGAACAATATCTTCGAACCAAAATCTTCTCCATTACCGCTAATACTTCTACTACCTCTACCACTATCGAATTTGAATCGACAATTAAGTCTCTGTGCTAATGTGATATTGCAACCTGAACTTATGTGTTTACGTACGAAGTTCTACGTTAAGGCTGACTGACTCATTGAGGTAAACTGGGAAATGAATGTATTTTTAGGTTTTTAGGCAAACATTAAAAGAATGACTAGTAGTTAGAAAAAAAAAGCTGGAAATTAGAGATTGAGACAGAATTGGTTGAGAATTAATGGTCGATAACTTCTGCCAAAAGTAATCATATAAAATATGTAATATTTGTAGGCATTTGTCTATTGCCATTGTCAATATGCACAACTAAAGTTGACCGGTGTTGCAATACGTGTAATCCAAGTGGACTGGCTTGATAAAGAGTTATTTATCATAACTTTAGCGTTCACAGCCAAAGACATTGAATTCGAAGCCCAGATTGAACATTACCACTGTGGTGCGCGCTACTTATAAGTAGTATATGACGCGAGTGTAAACACAATGTCTGGCAGCAGAAGATGGGGGGGAAGATCAAGAAAGGAAGAGTGGAAACACAATGGAATTTGTATGAAACGCATGAATAGTGAAATGTCAGGCAATGTATTGAAGATTTGCAAATTAACGATTTACGATATGGTTTTCCTATTTTACTGAGTAACTCTGTAATTTTCGTTAAATACAATTCAGTTGCCCTCACCTGTGTTCTCCTTCACTACACCACCATTAGGCTGTAAGGCTATTCAGCTGATCAGTGCTAAACAGTTGAACATAATGCACATCTTTAATTCTACAGATAGAATGTAACACTTTAGTTTTAACCAACGTATACACACACACACACAGACAACCGACAGAGTTTGTTTGTAATGCATTTTTTTTTTCAATTCCTGTGTATTTATTATGTATATTCTTAAAGCTTAAGAAATACTAAATCAGTAGTGCACAATTATATAAAATATATATTCAAAGAAATCTATGTATCCAGAACATTATCACAAACACTGAAACGATCAGTAATGGTAGAATGTTTATCGATTTACAAATATTTGATATCTTACTTCATTTTTTTTTAAAAAAAGAAGTTAACAGTACAACAACAGCCATGCAACATTTTCCGCTTGAAAGTACAAGCAACGTTTTTTTACTATACATGTATATACATGTATTTAAAAGTCCAGAGTGACTAGATAAGCGAAGATACATACATATATAAGCGTTTAACCACATAGCAAACAAGTCTATTTAGTTAGCTGGATAAAAATACAGAGATAGTATGTAATAATGCTGCTGTATTGATTATGATCGCAAAAAATAGAACTATGATCAAGGTATTGAAGAAAAGATAAAGTGAAAAGATATGAAAAAAAAACATTTTCTTCTATCTTCTTGGCTAAGTGAATAAATAATTAGGTGAACCGATCATCTTTAGTACATTTTAATTTGTCAGTCTGTTTAATGTCAAAATTTGCCAACATTAAAATAAAACAACACCATTACAAAAATCCGTTTTTTTGCTTTCTGCCTAAACTTGATTGATCTACTACAATACAACTATCACAACATTCTGCCATCAAAGTAAAGAAACACTATAAATTTTGAATCAAAAAGGGCAATGCAAATCTACATACACACTTAGATTTCAAACAAATTCACCTGTAATCAATCAATCTATCCATCAATCAGTTAGTTAGTCGACAATCATACACGCATGTATGTAGTGTGTGTACCAGGTGTACAATTCAAGTCGCCATTAATTGTACACATTATTATTAACACAGCAGGATGAAAATATAACTTAGATAAATATACTACAGTAATTGAAGGTGTACGCAGACATAGTAGAGTTGAGATAAATGAAAATTAAGCATGGAGTATTTATTATTCAGGAAAGAAGAATAAAACTCTTGGGAAATAAAGAGTATGAGTGAATTTAGTTGTGCCAATATGAGCAATATTATCTTCTTTAATCACTGAATCAAAATAACCAATCAATTCGCATCAACCGATATGACTTAAATAACAATATCTAGGCACGGCCACGTTTAAGTTAATATAACCAGAAGAAAAGAAACCGAGTAATTAAACTTCTTAATGCGAACAGATAATTTGTTCAACTAAATCGAAAACATTGTTACATAATCACTGTAAATTGATAGTCGATCAGGAAGGATTTGATTTCGACCAATTCGGTCTCGTGTGCTGTTACGGGTTTGAAGGCGGTTGTCACTTCCCGGCTGCCCACACCGTGGAAGGTTGTTTCTTGAGGAACCTAAAATGAAGGTATATTAGCGTTGGTCTGAACGACCTGGGAGCGTGACCGTAGAGTCCAAGGGACAACTGCTTTAGGCAGGTCACGCACGGCGTTATTATGAAGGGCTTTTTGAGTATTAGCTCCGCTCTTGAAAGCCCTTAGTGGGCACCCTTACCCAAGGAGACGGAAATCCGTGAGTTAGGGGAGGTGTGACATTTTTAGGGTCGACCTTTTCTAACCCTTCCTTCCTTGTGAGAAGGCAGCATCGCTGCAGATGCTGGTTGTCCGAGGGAAACACCTTACTGTTGTCACACCCCTCTGCAGTCAGCAGTACGACTTCGCTCTCAGACCTTGAGTAGCTGCTTTTAGTCTGATCGTACTCCAATCGACCTGCCTGGCATGGTAGAACCTTCAGGAACATAAGATCCAGCCAATATAGCTCGGTTGGGTCATCACGATAGGCAAGCCCGACCACCACATCAAGGTAGCAGCTTCGGTCGATTGTGTTAGTTGATTGCAAATTAATCAACTAACACTGAGTGACAAAATATTTATTTAATCTCTCTATGTGAGTGAGTAGTCAACTTATCATTATGAGGAGATTTCGTTCTCTGAACTACAGAACTGCTCAATAGGATGGCGAATAGTTGAACAAAGTGAAAGACACAATCAAAAGCATTCAGCACAAAACACGAAACTCCACAATAATCACCCATCTGAGCTACAAATTTTCTCCACTATTACAAAGAATTATAGATGAACTAGTTTCGATCTACAATAATACAACATTGATTTCGGATATTTCGTAGTTACATTAGCTAATAAATATCAAGAATAATCGTTACTGCTTTGCTAGTAATCATACAGTTCAAGAACCAACACATGATTAGTGAGAAATTCTTTTTTTGAGCTGAAGAAAATAAGTATTTGAATTAAAATAAGGGAAATCAGATAGACTGGTTATTTCATCATACAATGAGGCGAATGAATGTATGAAAAAAACTTCTTGCCACCGAAATAAACTGAGCGATAATTGGATATGAATACGCACACACACACACACACACGTATACAAACATGCGAAAAATGCAAAAACCAGTAATTTATTTAAAACCTACAAATTATATGTACAAAATATTAAGATTCTTCTTACCTGGTGCACCACAATCAGCACAAAAATCATTTCCAGCTGCAGATCGTATATTTTGAATTAAATGTTCGGTAACAGCTAATTCATTTGCATCACCTGCACCACAACGACTTGCATTCAAACTATTGGAATCAGTCGCACCACCACCACCAGCATGTCGACCATTCCCCCCTGATCCACCACCACCGAAGCCACTCACATTGGAAAGGTGGTTGGAACCGTTACCTCCGCCGCCGCCCCCAGAACCACCACCACTGCTTCCTGTAGTACAACATTGACCAGCAATAGCACGAGTACGTTTAGATGATTCATTCAATTGAAGACGTGTCATAATAGCACGTTCAATATGCATAACCCATTCATCTCGTTCATCTGGACCAGCTGCTTCAAAATGCCATTGACGATCCATTGATATTAATTGGAATTCATAACCTTCTGAATCTGGACAAAGAGATTGAAAATATATTGTCAATGAAATAAATAGTTTTCATTTTTTTTAAAAAAAAATAAATTAAAACGATCAATATAATTAAGATGCCTTTAGAATTAACACTTTTCTTGTCTGATTTTTACCGGAATTGGACTTTTACCAGGCGATTCATCGGTTATCTAAGACAAACTTCTATTTGGTGAAGATGCTTAATGTGCAGTCTTCTGACCAACCTAAGCAACAATCCAAGCATGTTCAGGATGCGGTTGTCCCCGTCGAAATGCTAAATATAGCTTCACGATGTAGCACCTTAACTAGTGATAGCGAGTGAAGTAATAGGGCATGACCGCTTCACTTATCTTAAGAGTTTCATCACTGCTAATGCCCTTGTGTCTAACGAAACCTCAGCTCGGATACAGAAGGCTCAATTGGATTTTGCCAACCTGTGTCACCTATGGCATAGGCGAGATATCCGTATGCTAACCAAAGGACGGGTTTACTGCGCAGCAGTTCGCTCCGTCCTACTCTATGATTGTGAAACATAGCCAGTAAAAGTAGCGGATACTTATAGGCTATTAGTATTCGATCATAGGTGTCTCCAAAGAAGTGCCCGAATATCATGGGACAGCCGAGTAAGCAATGCTCTTGTAAGGAAATGAGTACTAGGTAAGGATGGAAATCAGTTGATGAAGTAGTGAATCTTCACCAGTTGAGATGGTTGGGATGTGTGTTACGTATGTCTGGTCACCGACTGCCTAGAAGAGTGATGTTTTGTATGCGTACGTACGAAGTTCTACATCGTTACGGACTGACTGACTATACTAAAGATAATGAAGAGAATTGATGTTTCCTTTAGATATAATAACTTATGATAGTTTAGGGACCATCATCTTTTGTCATTTCATCATTAATAATGGCTAAAATCTTAACGCTGGAATAACTGGACAATAACTGCCTATCGCAATCAGAGATGTTGGTTGGGCTATAGGCAGAAGTTGGCATACAGTTACGCGAGATCAAACTGAAGTTTAATATCAATTCAAAAAGCCACTGATTTTTCGTTTGAGTCATGTTCGTAAGGCTAGACTACTTGATGAGTGTTTAGTGGGTGTACAAATTTGTTAAGCCCATACGGCTTGGCCAAACCTTTAGACAAACTAATCGATCCATTCTTCTCAAGTTAATATTCACACGTCTTCCGACCTTGCTATTATTCGCCCATGCCTTGGTTGTTTTTATTTATGTGTCTGCTTACTTATTCGCTTATCATCATTATTTTGGTCTGACTACAAATACATGGTCATGCTTCATCGCACTGAGTTGGCTCACTTGCCTTCTCCACTTCGCTTTGCTTCGCTTTTACGCTTTGTATTCCTCATGTCTGTCTGCGTGAGTGAACGAACGCATGAGATAAATTCATTCAGCCGAATTCGTATTTAGCTTCTTACAAATAGAAGAAGACAGTATGTTTACGAAATAAAGTACACATAGCCTTTAATCATCTATTTGTAATCTAAGCAGGTCATAGACTGTCTTCTCTCATATCTCTTCTGGTCGTTGAACCACTGATCACACCATATATTTTGATCTCCAGACACTCCTATCTCTGGTGGGAAATTTTAGGTGAAGCTCTGCAGTATACTACTTATATACCACTTTTATGAATAGTATCCACCACACTTTCACTACGTTAATATTTATCTTGGAAATTTGATCCCGCTGTAATGATTTGGCATGCCGATTTGAACTGACGGATAAATGTACCATGTTTTACAGTGATTACGACTAATTAGAAGCAACCAACTTTGAAGCGGAACAACAATATTATCGATAATGATAACAATCAGAAATTTGTTAATGAATAAAATAATTAAATTACCTGAACCATCAGCATTATTACTCTTTGGATTGGATTTAATACGTCGATGACGTTTTTTCACAGATGATGAATCTTTACCTCCTGTTAGAAATTTTCCCAACAAATAGCAGGAGTTAAACTGAAGAAAAATGAATTAAAAGTGAATTATTACGATAGGAAACTTGTGAAGACTGTTTAGATAAAAACTAGTTTTCTTTTATTATTCAAGAAATAAAACGATATTTGAAATTGTAAAGAAAAAGTAAAACTTCAGTGTACTTCTGTGGTACTCCTTTCAAAGACAGACACTGCCACAGAACCTCACGATCGACATATTCGAATGCCACCTTAAGGTCGGGCAATACAACTATTTTCCGATGTTGATGTGTGAATGTATGGTCTAAGCAGCCACGTCCAGATCTGAAGCCAACCTGGTTTTCTTGAGTCTGCTCTACACGAGCTATAGTTAGGCATCCAAGTATTATTGAAGCCAATATCTTAAACACTATATTAATCAAACTGACTTCTGTGTGATGGTCACAAGAGGATGTTTGTCCTTTTTTAGAGACTAGAACAATCAATGATTGAGACCAGTCAGATGGAATTACGCCCAGTTCCCAAATTCTGCCTAAGATCTCAGTCAACCAAACTGCTAAAACTGGACTACCATCCTTAAAAATCTCTGGGGTAAGCCTGCCAGGCCCTGAAGCTCGCCCTCGCTTCATATTTCTTATCACTTACTCTACTTCATAAAGAGCCGGAGGATACACATCGACTTGCGTTACAGATTGACTGGAAATTGCTGGTAACCGACAAGTTGAACTACTCCCTAAAAATTTCTGCCCATCTAATTTTCTGGATTGAGAATTAGCAATAATCCCAGCAGCGAGTAAATCAAGTTGGTTCTTCATCTAGATAAGATGAAGTCAAATTCATGATTCCACTCGGATCCTGTATATGCGTTTCGGAGATGCAACATATATCGATGGCTTGAGATTCTTAAGTCCTAGCTAAGGAAGCTTGTTGTGCACAAGGTTCGAACACTGAGAGCCCTGACATGTAGTTTAGAGCGGGGGTTCAGGAGACCACGAATAACGTCACGCGTATACAGGTCTTCTGCATCAGCAGCGCGAGGTGATAATGGTATGCGAGAAGGGTTAGTCGTGGAGATAAGAGAGTTATTAAGAGGTGTAGGAGGGATTTGACTGTGAACGAGTACGAGTTGAGCTCGAGAGTTGATATGTGTATGGCGACGGATGCTTGTTCCCGGCTGCACTCATAGTGAAAGGATGTTACTTGAGAAGCCTGAAAATGATGTTGGATTAGTGTTGGTGTTAGCGACTTACCAGTGTGACTACATAGCCGAAGAACGGTTTTTTGTGGCCAGTCGCGCACGGTCAGTTTGTGGGGAGTTTTTAACGTAGTAGCTCCGCTGTTCACATAGTCTTACAGCAAGAGAAAGGAGAGGGTCTGAAATTTTACGGTTGATTTTTTCTAACCCATTCCTTTTGATCAGAGGTGGTATCGCTGCAGATGTTGGTTATCTGAGAGAAACACATTATAAAGTCAGCAGTACGACTTTACCCGCATACCTTAAGTTGGTGGTTTAAGTATTACCCTTCTCCAATCGACCTGCCTGGCATGGTAGGACCTAAAGGAGCATATGTTCCAACCAAGATAGCTCGGTTGAGTTATCACGATAGACAAGCCCGACCACCACGTCAAGGTAGCAGCTACGGTCGGGTGCGGAAACCTGATAAATCCCAAAGAATTTCTTAGAAGCATAACATTCATACGGTACATTGAAATGAACCCAATCTATAAACCTTTAGGGAACAGGTCAGTCAATATAGACAGTCAAAGTGAACGCTAAGGACGACAAAAACTATGGAAACGTAATCATAGAAACAAAAGAGCATGAACTGATTTAATACTACTTGTGGATTAACTCTAGAAAGCTCACTACTCCTAGTGAATTAGAAATAATAAACCAGTAGTATACATAACAAAGTCATGTCAAATACACAATCTATAAAAATAATATGAAGTTTCAGTTAATTCCCCATTCAAGCCATTAAAAAACATTTTATTCACACAAAAAACGCCAAATAAAAAAGCTATACAAAAACTAAAATTATGATACTATGAACAGAGAGTAAAGCAATACACTAAATTGAAAAAAGGGTAAGAATAGTTCTGTATGCAAAATACACTTCAACTAGAAAATATGACCAAGATAAAGTTTTTTCATACAAAATCAAATACAATCATGGGAGATAACAATAGCAGTATTACAAAGAAAATTCCATTTTTTTTTCATATGTTTACTAATGACTAGATTTGTGACAGAAGTTTAATGAGATGTGACCGATGTAGTTCAACCATGTCGGATGTGAGGCAGATAATCACTGTAGACAATGGAGGAGGTCATGAAATACCATGTATCGATTGAAGTTAGACATTAATACCATCAGATATGGTCTCAAAAGTCAAGAGGTTAAGCGTTCATTCGTGAGACTGAAAGTCTTGGGTTCGATTTAACCTCACGAGTTCGAGGATGTGGACTGCTGATGAGTCTCAATACTATGGCCAAACCACGTTCCAGTGCTTTCAGGTTCCAATCGTCGCCTGAACATTGATTGACTCATTATTTCAGTAACATACTAATTACGGGTTAGCCAAACAACTACATAAAATGGTAAATCCTCAAAAGTCAAGTAAATCAGTATATAAACAGAATTGTTTTGGGTTCAACACTGCAAATCAATAATTATCTATTAAATCTCAGCAAAAAAAACACTGGTTAAAGAAAATAAGCTTTTAAATTCTATGCGTCACAAGTTCAAAGCCTATTCTCTCTCTGCACTGTGAACTGATCAGCTAGACTACATATATTTTCTATATGTCCCCATAAAATATTATTCTGTTGCATAAATGATAATATTATCGACCGACGACATATAAGAACACATTCTATACGCAAACATTTCAACTGATAAAATTCATTTGATTACTACTGTCTGTTTTGATTGGCACACACTTTTAAATGAAACGTTGAGAGAGAGAGAGAGAGAGAGAGAAAAAAGAGAGAATACTGTAACACATTTTTATTTCCAAGTATAGTTTACTTACTTTAATTAAATAAGCGTAGAA